ATACACACACACTATATCTCAGAAAATCATGTAATATGTAGCAATCAATATTTGGAAATAGTACTTTAATTAAATATCTATTTTTAAGTAATTTAGAAACTATCAATGACTACCATTGGATTTAACAAAGATCAAAATTCAGGGTTTATTTTTTGAGGTGTTTGTTTGTTTGTTATTGTCTTGCTGTAACCCCAGCTGGCCTGGCACTCCCTATGTAGACCAGGCTGGACTTGATCTCACAGAAATCTGCCTGCCTTTGCTTCCAGAGTGCTAGGATTATAGGCATGTGTGCACTACAACAAAACACCTGGCAAAATGTAGGTTTTATATAATACAAAATGACAAATTTTCAAATGTATCTCTTATATAAACACCTGATGATAACAAATGTACTATGAATGTCCCACTTATACAATATAGAGACTAAATATAATGAGTGATAAGGATATCCAACAAATCAAAATGAAATAGAAAGCATGTGCAGAGATTTAGTTACGTATACTAATTAAAATAAAAGTCAGGTGTAGTGGTTTATGCCTGTAATCTCAGTTCTCAGAAGGCAGGAGGATTGCTTTACGTTTGAGAACAGCTTGGGCTAAAAAGTGAGAATTTTTCTCAAACAAGCAAACTAACTAACTATGACTAAAAAAAATACATATTTGCTCATACTGCATTTTAAATGTTCACTAAAGTAACATTCTATATGTTATTTAACTTTTACATTTTTTATTATTTTTATTATCTGTGTATGAGTGTATTGTCTGCATGTATGTAAGTGCACCTGTGTCATGCAATGCCTGTGGAGGTCAGAAGAGGGTGTCAGATTCCTTGGAAATGGAGCTACAGATGGTTATTAGCTTCTATGTGGGTGCTGGGAACTGAACCCAGGTCCTCTGCAAGAGCAGTCAGTGATCTTAATCTTAATCTCTCCAGTCCCTTATTTAATTTTCTACAGAATTATATGAGATCCTATTTAGAAATTGCTAATACTATTTGAATATTGCCATTTTTCAATGAAGTATAATTCCAGTAGCTTTATTGTATTCTACATTTTTTTCTACAAAGAATTATGGTATGTCAAACATCTCTTAAATGGAATTATCACTAATGTTGGCTACTAATCTCTAAAGTCATCCTGCACTGAGTCTGCTCACCACAAATGTTCACAATGCCCTCCACTGGAAAAACCAAGAAAATACTGAATTAGGTTTGTAAATATTGATGTCTACATCCCACGCTTTGACACAAAAGCTAAAGGAAAGATCTGCATGCCTGCCCTCCCTGCTGCAGGCTACTCAGGGGTGGGGAGGTGGGGGGGGTCCTCCACTGTAACCTGCTAGTATCCAACACAATCCTAAAGCTATGAAGTAGGAAAATGCTTTTCTGTGTCCTCAAGTCTAAAATCATGTTCAAGGCTCTTACACTATGACATTGAACTTTCTATCAAGTAACTTCAAAGATTCTGTTTATTCAACTAAAACACACATGTGTGTGTATGACTAATGCATACTTTATCCAAATAGTTTTTCAAATAAAATGTGTATTTCTTTGGGGGGGTGTCTTTTTTGAAACAGGGTTTCCCTGTAGCCCCAGCTGAGCTAGCACTAGCTATGTAGATCATAGCTGTAGCACTAGCTATGTAGATCATAGCTGGCCTTGAACTCACAGAGAACAGCTGCCTCTGCCTCCCAGAGTACTGGGATTAAAGGCATGGACCACCACGCCTGGCAATATGTCACCTTGAGCAAATGATCAAAATATGGACAAAGCAATCTGAAAAATCACTGTGTTTACAGAACTAGTAACATGACAAGCATTTCCAATCAAATACTATTTTAATCTTCTAATTCAACAGTATTTGCCAAGGCATGAAACCCAGGGCAGGTACACATGAACTTCCATGCTACACTGCATACAGGACATCACACATGAAAGATGCTCACTGGAAAAATAAAGCAATGCCAGGCATGGCTTTTACCTAAGCACAAACATTCTGCATGCTATATGCTTCTAGAATACTTGCTGCAATAATGATGCTGCACAGGTACAGTACAAATTGAGTCAAAAGCTTCAGGAACTTACTCTAGAGAAAAGTGGGGCATATTCTCCACACCAGTATCAGCGTGTCCAACTGGCTCCACCCGGCTGTTGTCTTCTTCTGCCCCATCCTCATCCTAGATGCAGCATGACAAAGAAAATCGCATTGGGTTAGGAAGGAAGATGCATGGACCCGGGGTCTAAAGGGCACTATGACCCTGTTAAGAGATCTTTCCTCTAGGGAAGGAGTCCTCCATGGTAAAATGGGAATGCTTCTTGAACACCTGAGCACTCATATAAGAGCCTCAAAAATTAGCATGTCCCAAGAGTTGTTGAGCAGACACTCCCAGGATTGGAGGGGGGGTGGGAAGCCCTGAAATTTAGTTAATGCCAATTTCCTTATCTTGTTATTTAACTTCATTCTTTGGATGTATGTTTTAAACAGTAATTATTTATTGCTTCA